TCGTAACAAATATGGCGATGGCAAATGAAGAGTTGTTTCTAAAATATAAAATTTTTAGAATTTGTAAACAAATATTGGAAACTTCTTCATCAGATTCAGACAAAGAAGATTTAATTAAGGCCAAGTTTAATAAACTTGCCGAAATAAAAGATTACATTGAATCGGTGGTGTCGCACCTGGATGACTCCTAGGTAGGTACCATAAATATTGTTGTAAGTCCTGTTAATGCACAGTATACTTTGACATCTTAAGAACTTAAACATATGTAAGTTTATGTTAATATGTCGATAAAATATTCTGTAACAATATTAAATAAATGTTTAAAATGAAAGCTTGGCTTGGATCTTGTTTGGAATTTGGAAGGTACTACTTTTATTTATCACTCAGATGATAGCTGTCAAATTCAATACAATGCACTGGGTGGTCAACTGCGTGTTCGGTTGGAATAAGCTTGCATGACGTCACTAAATTGAACCAGTGGTGAGCAACGAAAACTCGCACTTCACGAGTGTGAACTGAGTGTGACCAGTCGAAAACGCTATTAGATTTTAGAATTCACCGCAGGAGCGCTGGTGTTGCTAGAGATGTTAAAAATACATGGCTTTTTATGGGAATTTTACTAATTTTGTAAGACTAATAAAAATAAGCTTGTTTGTTGCAAAATAAAGCATAGAAAATATTGTTGTATTTATTTCTAAATAAGTCTTGCATATTTTAAGTGATAAATTATTTAATTTTATTATATAAAATGCAAAGTAGGTATGACCAAATTCAAAATACCTAATAGTATATTAGGCAACGATCGTGTATTAATAGCCACTATATGAGAGTTGTGTAAAATGATACAGTCATAGGGTATAAAATTATATATGCTCAAAAGAAATGGTAACAATTTAACATAAAAAATAGGTAGAGATAGTAACAAAATAAAAAAATCAATATTCGCAAATTTCACAAATGAACTTTTTTAGCTTCAGGGACACTTCGGCACATTTACAATGTGCCCAATTCTTGCATTCCATGCAACGAATTCAACGCTCCCTGGACCTCGAGTTTTTAAACAAACCGCATCATCATCATTGTTCTTGGCTGCAAACGGATTTTCTACTTCTTCTTCTTCTTCTTCTTCTTCTTCTCCTTCTTCTTCTTCTTCTTCTTCCTCTTCTTCTTCTTCTTCTTCTTCTTCTTCTTCTTCTTCTTCTTCTTCTTCTTCTTCTTCTTCTTCTTCTTCTTCTTCTTCTTCTTCTTCTTCTTCTTCTTCTTCTTCTTCTTCTTCTTCTTCTTCTTCTTCTTCTTCTTCTTCTTCTTCTTCTTCTTCTTCTTCTTCTCCTTCTTCTTTTCTTGGTGGTTGTTAAAACTTCGGTTATTGTTTGTTTAGGCTTCCTTTTTCTAGTTCCACTTGATCTGGGCAGTGGATAAATTTACTACAGGCTAATTTTTATTTAGATATATTTTCTTTCGCATTATTATCCTCCTTATCATCTCTGACATCATTTTCTTTACTGCGAATTTCATCGTGTTCTTGTCGCATCGGTTTTTCTGTAACAACACTTTCTTCTATTTCATTGCTGACTGACTCTTCTGTATGATTAGATGTTTCTCCTTCTGTGCTGCTTGGTTCGATTAATCTATCTGTAGTCTTAGCCGGTTCAAAACATTCGTCTGGGAAAATATTTGGGTTGAATTGACATATGCCAGTTTTTAAAATTCCGCTTGTAGCATTTTTTATTGTTGCCGCTTTCCCATCTGTATCTGTAACGTGTAGAGGGTGGGTTTCCCCCCCCCCCCCCCACGGCACTTAGGCCTCATTTGGCCCATTGTGCATCCTCCTAAGATGATAGGCACCTCCTAGCTCGTGAGCCAGCCTACAGATTTTATGTATTTGACAACGTCGCCAAGAGGTCCTTTTCTTATATCGGCCGGTGTTAGCCGATACTCGCCGAACACAAATCTTCTAATAAATGAGAGCGTCGAGCAATCGTAAAGGATATGCTCGATGATCTTATCTTCTTGTTCGCACCCTCTGCAGATTGCGGATTCTGACAGCCCCATGATATGGAGATGCTTCCGTATTTGGCAATGACCAGTCAGAATGCCTGTGACTAGGCGCGGATTCTGTATATTCATAGTCAAGTATTTGTTTGCTGCAGTGTTGTCAGGATAACTTAAGAGCTCCCTGGCAACTCTGCAGTTTCTTGTTTTATCCCATCTTTCCTTGAATTTCACAAGGGAATGTTCTTTAATTAGATCTGTCAGCACCGATTTTGTCAGACTAATAGAAGGGCCAGGTCCAAAAAGTATTTAGTTGGCTGCTTTCTTGGCTAGTGAATCAGCAAGACGGTTACCTTTCAATGTGGCGTGACCTTTGATCTATCTTAAGGTGACCTAATTAATTGTTGATGGATACTTTGGCCAAAGCTTCGTGACATTCTAGTACTAAACCTGAGTAAATTCATTGTCTGTTCAGGGTAAGTAGTACTTGTCTGCTATCTGTATAGATGAGCGTGTTCCTTCCGTTAGCTCTGTTTGAATTACACTGGCACTATTGCTCACAGCTCATTTTATGTTTAGGTTTAAGAATCTGGAGTATATTCCACATCCTGAGCCTTGTTTTGTTTTAGAACCGTCGGTGTAGATATGAATCGTACCTGCCACTTCCGGCTCTTCTATTTGTTCTATTATAACTTTATATGGCTTATGGAAGATATATCTTGGTGAGATGGAGTCCATGTTAGCTTTAAGCAGTGGGAGCGTATCGAGCGCCTCCTGCCAAAAGTGACGTCTCGCCTCACCAGATCCTACATCAGGTTCTATTCCAACCGTGTGGAGGCGTGTCTTGTCGTCAGAGCAACGTCCTTGATGTAAATATCAAGAGTAGTGAGACCAAGAATTACTTCCATGGCCCTGGTCGGTATTATTTTCATGGCTCCTGTTATGTTGAGACATGCTGTTCTTTGAAGTTGTTTTAGTTTACGGATAGCTGTTAATTTTTGGGTTTTTGGTACCCAGACAACTGCACCATATGTTAGCATAGGTCTTATGATAGCCGTGTAAGTTTATGCGACGACTCTGGTGCGACTTACGGTTCGGCGGCATTGTTCATAAGCAATGTATGCTCTTTTAACTCTGTTTTCTAAATGCGAGTTTCATGTTAACTTGCTGTCAAAGGTGAGACCTAGATACTTCACCTCTATTGCAAAGTTTAGTTTTGTGTTTAGGAATTTTGGAGGTTTTAATTCCATTTTCAACCTTTTCCTTGTTAAAGGGACCATTTCTGTCTTCCCATAAACAGAAGTGAATAGTTCATTAATTTGATTCTGTGTGATTATTCGTCTTAGATGGTTTTTCAACCAGAGTGCACATTCCTAAAGACCCTGGAGGTAAAGAATCTAGAAGTTCTTCCTTTCTATTTTTCCTAAGCAAGATCAGAGCTGGCGGTATGAAATTATCTATACCATTCATGCAGCAAACACATGCTACATGCTGACCTCTTTCGGCGCTGGTTAGCGATCCAACTTGTTTTTTTTTTTTTCGGTTTTTGCTAAAATTTTTGGAGGTCTCTGCACTGTGGACAGACCACTGTCATCCATATTGTAAATACGACAAATATATATTATATATTATAGAAATTTGTAATAAAATAAACTACACTCTGTAAAATAAGGGTTTTGGCTAGTTTATAATAAATATTATATTTATAAATAAATAAATTATTTTACTTACGCTAGAAGCTTTAAAAAGACTTGTGAATTGATTTCCTCTTGTGCTTTCTTTAGTTTTACCTATGATTTATATCCCTTTTTATAACCTGGAATGAAGTAAATCTTACTTTGATGTTTTTTGTCACTCATCTTACTTATAGTCATGTACTTTTTTCACTTTATTTTGATTATTTTCACCATTTAAAAAACACCTTATTTTATATTGACTTACATAAACAATTAACGTCACTAACGTTCGACCCGCCAACTACAGTCAATTTGGTTAACTTTATAAAAAGAAGGACGGACATATGAAATTTGTCCATTGTCGATTCGTCTCCTTCTCTCTAGTCTTCATAACTTCCGGTTAGTTATATACAGAGGGTCAGCAGTTTAAGAAAAAATAATTTATTTTTAAAAGTTGGTAAATTTCGACTAAAATTGTTAACTGAGTATTTTAAAAGTTAAAGATAACATATCCTAAATAAGTTTTTAAAAATGGCGTTAAACGTAATAGTATTTAATAAAAAACGGTTCCCCTTGAATTGAAATAACAAAAAGAGTACTTTTGGTTTGTTTAACTGGACTATTTTAAAAGCAGACAATGAATAACTGTGAATCTGACGAAGAGCACCCGGCGGACGCGAAGTGAGAGTTAGAGTAAGATCAAAAGAAATATCGTTGGAGAGAGACAGGTGACAAGAGGTTTTTGACTCGCATATCGGGGACAACACCAATCATTTGTAATTGCTGTGGTGGTAGGTGTTTGTGTAAATTCATCTTGTTTGTTTTCGTGACTAGCAGTAGTATTTTATAAATCTTAGAAGCAAATTTCACATACATGAACAAATAATAATAATGCCGTGACAACAAGAAGACGAAGCAACGACTTCTTGTAGGGTGGCAGCTTCGCCGCCACCAGAAAATTTCAATCCATTCCGGCTACGCCGACCAGCATAAACACCAACGGGTTGGACACAGCTCACATACTCTGTCAAAAGGAGACCGATGTACAAATAAAACGCGTACGACTTGCGCACTACAAATGATTAGTGTTGTCCCCGATACGCGAGTGGGTTTTTGGTTTGCTGGTTTTAATTTTAAATTGTTAAAATGTAAGTTATTAAGATTTCCCTGTTTTTACAATTTCAATATCGAGGGAAGTTCTGGGTAAAAAACCTTAACGAGTTAAAAGTTAAAAGACTTTTTTGTTGAGATAATTGCGTTACTCAAAAATCAAAAGCTCCTCTGTCTGGTACAGATACGTACAACATTTTAAGAATTCGTTGAACTACTTACAGAGAACCTGCCCCACTATTGGATCTTTTTATTCTTTTTTCTATATTTTCTTTGGTGTACGGATTATTTTTCATTTCTATTGCATTTTTCCATTTTTCCTTTTCCCTTCTGCTATAAATACCTAGAAAATAGAAACAATAATATATGTATTAATTTTAAGAAAAATACTTTCATGAAAATATAAAAAAATCCAGTGTTAATAATGTCATCGGATATAATCTATTATTGATGATTTTATGAAGAAATAGCGATAGCGCTCATCTTGAATACATAATGCGTATTGGGGTAGAATAAGCCGAGGACAAGCCTAGAACAAGTGGACTCTGAACTACATTAAAATTCAGATAGATAGAAGAGAAAGGATTATGAATATCAAAAAAATTAGAATTACCCGAAAAGTGCATCTGGACCATTCTTACTTCATCATCAGAATCCTTGTCTATTTGTTTTTCCGTTTCCTCGTTTTTTGTATCCGACTTCGATGTTTCGGCTTTAATTTTTTGCAGTGATGGTCTACAAATCATATTTTTATTTTTTATTTACTTTAAAACGAAAAAATAAAAAAAATACCTGGCAGGTGGCTGTGGTCTTTTTTCAATTTTTCTTGGCAGTGACGCATATTGTTCTGTATATTCTGCTTCTTGTTCCGTATTACTGTAAACCGATAATAATGAAGCATCTTCTACATCTAAAATAAAGCAGAGGTTCAAGTACACATAACATAAAGCTAATATTAATTAAATAAGGAGACCGATTACATATTTTAAAAGTAAAGAAAAACCCAAATTAGGGTAAAAATAGAGATAATTATGAATACAACGAAAAACACCAGAAACTTGTTTAATAAAGCCAGAACCCTAAAAAATTATAAATAACAAATATAAAGCAAGGGAAGGGGGGAAATATATGCTAGAAATGGTAAAGGAGAGAAACAAAAACGTCAGAACAAGTTAAATTGCAAATTAAATCCCTGAAACTGCTCAGCAGTTAGTACTTCTATCACGTCGTGAATGGGTGACCTCTGGGAAGTTCCACCATGGGTCATGTAATATAAATACGTTGGTATTGATACCTACATTTGTATGCAATGTCAACCCTGTATGAAAAGATGTCACAATTTAATTAGTTGTCAGTTGATATTGTACAGTTTTTAATTAAATTAGATTTTAAGGAAGGTATAAGTTTAATTTCAGGTCACACCACCAAGATGTGAAATAAATGGGTAGGACCTTTGAATGGTGACACAATAAGCCTGGAGAGCTGCAGACCAATTACTGGATAGGATATAGGCTATATTTGACACCTTGAAAATGTATGACGATAAGGGCATAGAAGTGCCATGAATTGGTAGATTTGGACAACTTATGGCGGGATATGAAATAAATAACATTTTTTTCTAAAAGAGGCTATAGAAGAAAATCACATATTATGTCGGATCTTAATTATTGGTTTTTATATGACAGTTTGTATTTCTTTCAGAGACGTGTGCAGTTATCACCGGAATGACTCTCGAATATCGCCTACTTTATAAACCATTTTTTTTTATTCACCCGATATAATTATTGTTAATAAAGGAATTCGATGATTTAAAAATATACTTACTATCATCATCTATGTGAATATCAGCTTTGGAAACAAAGAGGCCACCATCTAAATCATCTTCAGATTTATTAATTATACTATTGTCCAAATTTTCCATAAACTCAGACTCATCATAAGTAGATTGATCTCTATCTACTTCTTTTACCTGAAAATTTGGAATTTAATTTTATACAGATGATATCTATGAATCTTTTGACAATTATAATGATGTTGGTTTGTAGCTATCCGACCCTTCTGGGATTAGGTCTTTAATAGTATTTTTAAGAACATTTTTTTAACTGGTTAATGAAGACATACACCAGCAGATGCATTTAATACTGCAAGGGTCTGGCTGTGAAAAGGTATACAATTTTTAAAGCTATGCCTAGTTACAAGCCTATTAACTTTAATATATTTTAAATCTCAATATGATATTAACACTTATAAAAAATATTTACTCCAGAATCTGCTGATGACTCGCTACCAGATTCTCCCCCTGTGACTCCATTTTGAAGAAAGTTCTTTCCACCTATTACAGTTTTAGAATTAAGAAGAAGACTATGCCTCGTCGGCACAATTTCGGCTTCTCCAAATTCTGATTCGACATCGGAAAGGTCTGAGGTTTCATCCACTTCTTTGTCGCCTATCAATACCTGCAAATATTTAAAATGATGTAGTGGTGAAAAACAACATTCCTCATTTTGAGGAAGTGAAAATAGAACTAGAGAAAAACAAATTAAAGAAAGGGAATACCATAGTATCTATAATTTATTGCCCACAAGACACAATCAATTAGAAAACAAATTTATAATTAGTGAAGATGATAATGCTAAAAATACTATAGGGATCCAGATTATTCACAACTAAGGAAAAATAATTTCAAAAGGAAGCAGCTGAATTTGGTTGCTTCAATCAATCTACTGGAAAGCTTACATATTTGCCCAGTGACCCAATGAAAATACCTGACTTGTTGGATTTATTTATAACTAAAAAAATGTCTTCAAATTACATAGCAGCCGAAGAATACTTTTATACTTGTAAACAATAAATTTATATAGGAAAAAATCTGCGTGAGAAACTTTTCTTACCTTTGCTTCAGTTGTAGGATTAGGTACTAACATGGGTACGGGAACAGGTGAATGGGTTCCAGTTTGAAACTGTCTTTTCTGAAGAAACCAGTTCGGTTCATCGTCGCTCCAAATAGAAGATCTGGTTTTGAAATATTCGCTATCATTGTCTTCTTCATTGTCTTCATCGGAATCGCTTATTTGTGAAACTTCTTCGATATCTTGCTTTATCTAAAAAAATATGTATGGAATCATTTGAAGTTAAGGAAAATACAAACAGTTACTTATTAAAGGATACTTAAACCATCAAAATAAGGGAAATATTTATTATATCGAATCTATTGATTACAGTGGATAGATATAGTTGTAAAATAAAATTATTAACTAAGGAAAACAGGCAAATAAATTGGATTATTTCTTTAAAATATCGAAATAGAGAATAAAACTCACCGTAAGAGTAAGCTTATCTACGTATTTTCTAGAACCAAAACTAGAGTCGGTTTGTAGCCAGTCTTCTAAACTAGAAGTAGAGGTATTATCGAAATCTTGATTTTTCCATTTATTTTCTAATGTTTCTTCTCCAAAAAAGTACTCTTTTTCTTCTTTGATATTGGATGCAGTTGAAAACCTGCTGGATATACTGGCAGCTGAAGATGACGGTCGTGCAGGTTGGGAATTTGATATTACCTTACATAAAAAAAAAGGTTTTATAATTTTTACTGATAACTGTTAAATGTCTTCATTGTTGAACAATTTCCGATAAGATTGGGGTAATATTGGATCAGATCGAGTGAATCTTGTTACACTGTTTGATTAAACATTACTAAGACCACAGTAGCAGACTCCAGTATTCGCAACAATAATTAATTTTAACAGATGTCATTTAAGAGTTCTTTGTTCAACAGATCAAAAAATATTCTATTTACACAGTGTCTAGGTACACGCTAACTTGTACGCAATTCAAAAAGTTATATACACGCGAAACGTCTTGACAGAGTAGGTGAGCTGTGTCTAGGCCGTTGGTGTTTATGCCGGTCGGCGTAGCTAGGTATGGATTGAAATTTTCTAGTGGCAGCGAAGCCGCCACCCTACGAAAAGTCGTTGTCACGACATTATTATTATTTGTTCATGTATGTGAAATTTGCTTCTAAGGTTTATAAAATACTACTGCTAGTCACGGCGTAAATGAAAACAAACAAGACGCACTAACACAAACACCTCCCACCACAGCAATATGACGTTTCGCCTGTATATATATTTTTTGATTTGTGTACAGTTTAGCGTGTACCTAGCAACAGCGTTCTATTTATTATTAGATTGGTTAGGATTGTCATGCAACAGTGTTTTAAAATCATGTTTTGCGTGGGTAAACAAAACTGCTATACGGAAACTAGATAGTCCATCTTCTAACGAGTTCTACAAATTTGCTTTTACGCAATTCGTTGACAAATTATTAAATAATAAAGTACATAGTATATACATCGTCTCATAAATATAACATTTAAGCGAACGTGGTCTAATGGATAAATCGTCGGCTACTAAAGCAAGGGGTTGTGCGTTCAATTCCCGATATTCTGGATACATTTAAAAAAAATTTTTTTTCATTGTTTAATTTTATCTTAATAATAGTCATATTTTGTCATATTGCCGATTAAGTAAATTAGTTGGCAGTAGGCCGCACATGTTAGGTAAATTAGTTTAGAATCTCTTTGATTTTTGTTATTATATGTAAGTTTCGGTTACTTTCAAATTAATGTTAATAAATATTCAAAATTAGTTGGTAAATACAGTTGTCTCCATTCAGTCATTTGACAAGAAACTGCGCGAATTCAAATTGCTATGACCCATTTGGCAGCGTATAAATATTAAATTTTGGAGGTTTTCAGAAAAAACTTTAATAATGTTTTTTCATTGATCTTACTGAATTCTGAAGCGAGTAAAAAAGTGAAAATGTATGTACACTTCAATTTCAATTCATAAACTTAAAGATTTATTTATCATAAGATGTGACAAGTTGTATACGTAATTTGATAGATTTCCTGTTAACAAAATAGTTCTATTTCGAATAAAAATAGCGTTAAAGCTGGAAGGCTATGTCGCAACTCCCTTTTCACCGACGTTGTTTGACATTGATGGAATGCCTAATAGTTTTGTTTTTGCTTAAAAAGTATATTTCAAGTTTTTTATTAAAATAACTGTTTTTTTTAATTTTATTCACTTTTTACCCTTCATAATAATTATAATTTTTTAATTTGTTTTATAATTATTATTGAAAGTGAAAACATTGACGATGATAATAGTTTTTAGCAGGTTAGATAAAAAAAAGTAAATGGCTACCTAGTTGTTTTTAAACCAATTAATTCTAACGGATGATTTAATCATAAAAAGTGCAATTTATAAGTAATAGCCAAGCATGTGCGTTAATTGGAAATCTACAAACGTTTAAGGTTTATAAAGAAGTTCAATATTATTTTACATTATAAAATTGATTTTTAAGTCTTCAAAAAAGGAGGAGGTTCTCAATTCATCTTAATATATTTTTTGTTGAGCGATAATTCTTTAACACGGTGTCCGATTTCAATGATTATTTTGTTAGAAAGGGGGTACTTCAGAGGTGGTCCCATATTAATTTGGTCAAAATCTAATAATTGGTTCCATTAGAAAATCCTCAAACTCTTTATTTTTAATATATGTTTAGCGGTAATTCTTTACCACATTATCCAATTTCTATGATTCTTTTTTTTTTGTTAGTAAGAGGGACCTCAGAAGTGGTTCCATATAAATTTGATCAAAATCTAATAATTGGGCCCATGAGAAAAATCCTCAAACTGTTCATTTTTAATGTATGTTTAGCGGTAATTCTTTACCACCTTGTCCGATTTCTATGATTCTTTTTGTTTGTAAGAAGTTACCTCAGTGAAGGTCCCATATAAATTTGGTTAAGATATGATGACGGCATTTGCACGATTTTGAAGTCGTTTTTTAAAATTACTTTGAATACTTGTTAAAAATCAATTTGGTTAAAAATAATTTGTCCACCTTGTATTTTAAAATTCATTCCAAAGTCGAATCCTAATTATTCTATTACTGTTTTTATATACTAAAACAATAGTAGACAAATTTATTTTCCATGTCCCTATGACTAGTTTTTTGTTTGTTTACTGAATTAATTTAATTTGGAGGACTTTTTTAAAATTATTGAAAATACCTTATGTTGTGTTATATCTGTTTTCAGTGGATCAATATTTGATATTTTTACATGGAAACATTTTACAATTATTATCATATTTTAGTACCTAGATATACTTATTAGTTACGACAATTTCAGGCGGTTGGTAAAACGTTCAATAAAATTTATGAGCCTGATAAATATTGACAGAGAGAACTTCTTATATGTTTAAACACACAATTTTTAATAATTATAATTGTTTCAAAACTGGTTTTTAAATCATATGACGTGAATTTATTTTTTTTTTTAATAAAATATATGAATATATATTTAAATAATTCTGGGACTACAAGTTAAAGTTTAAAGTTTGAGAAATATCTACAGGGTGGGCCACCAGAGTTAATAAAATCGGTTTTTATAGTGAAATGTATATCAGAAGACAGCAATTTAAAAATAATTTCAAATATACAGGGTACTCCAGTAAAATGATACATATAAAAGTTAGGTTTTTTAAATGGGCATTTCATTATATTTTTGAAATCTACAAAAAAACTTTGTTAACGTTCTTTTATATCAAGAATATATTATTTTTGATATATTAGAATGTTTTCCAAAATATGTAGTGTTCAATATTATTACACAGGCGAATTTAAGTTCCAAATACTTTTACATAGGCAGACGTATGGAGTAAAGGGGCCAAATATTTTTACTTGGATAGACTTAAGGGGTAAAGGGTTTAAACAATTTTAAAAGGACAGGCTTAAGAGATAAAGGGTTCAAATATTTCTACATCGACAGGCTTAAAAAATAGGTTGCTCAAATATTTTTATTTTTACTTGTAGGTATAGAAGCGTAAGTGGAAAAGGAACCAAATATTTTTACATAAACAGGCTTAAGGTGAAAATAACAAAAATTTAATTACATGGGCTGGATTAAGGAGTAAAGGAACCAAATATTTTTACATGAACAGACGACTTAAAAGATAAAAGGTCTAGATATTTTTACATACATTTTTCAAATAATTTGCAAATCTTAACTCTTAATTGGACACCTGATACCCCGGGGCTCACATTAAAAAATTAAGACGCTAAATTCCCTATTTTTTCCCGAACTGAATGAGGGTTACACACCTAGATCTGTTTTGGTTCTGCAGAAATATGTTGAAAACTATCGAGCATCTAAGTTGCTACGTTTGAAAAGTACCTTCTGGAGCGGAGTAGAGCTAGTAGATTTTTTAGTCACGTGATCATCGAGAAAATCGAGCTTATGTGGAATAAAAGAACGCCTATGGATTTGTTTGTGTTTCCCGTTTCCGGTTTTTATTCAAATTACAAAAAACCTTTCTTTCAAATCAAATTTGATCTCTCCTCTCGTGGTTTTTATTGCAATTTGAAAGTAAAGTTAATTTTTAGTTGTGGTATTTTTCGCTTTTTGCTTTCACTAGAAAATAGTCCATGTTCTCATTTATTATAAATTTTTTATAAATATTTTTTGCTCTTAATAACCAAACACGTAACTAATATGAAACAGAATAACCTTCGACACAAGAGACAACGAACGACTCTCTGTACATCTCAGAGAAGTACATCTACAACTTTGATGTATTAAAAGAACGGCTTCGAGTAAAAAGAGTAAAACGAGGTACTTTTTAAACGCAACAAGTGATAAAGACGTGTGTATTTAACTATTAATACTGTAAATATTGGTCCTTAGTGAGTACGTGTATGATTTAATTGTATATATAATTCACCAAGAAGCTAAAGATTTATATAGGCTAATTTTTTTAAATGAATTGACCAGTAGTTTGAACGAACATTTAAAAGCACGATTGTATAATTTGAAAATCCCCGCTAACTTCGAAATATAATCTTAAGCATCACGTTTGAACCCATACCACATGAAGTAGACCAGCTTCCACAAGAGACCAAAGAAAATACTGTAGTACTCTGTGTAACTGTAACAAGTGGTTGAAGTGAATGGAAAAATGAAGTGAAATATCTAGGCCTTACTTCTCTGGAACACACATGAGAAGGAAGTTGTAAATAAGGCCACAAAAGCCCTAATGGTATGCAGAAACATTGCAGGTAAACGATGGGGATGTAACCCAAACATACTGCGATGGATGTATACTGCAATAGTGAGACCAATCATCACTTACGGAGCTATCGCCTGGAGTAACAGAACTAGTTTAGCTACTAAGAGCTAATATCTCAAAAGTACAAAGACTAGCCTGTGTTTGCATTACTGGTGCAATGAGAACCTGTCCTACGGCCGCAATGGAAATGATCTTATACCTCACCCGCTACATTTGATGAAACGAGGACACGATATAGAATGATCAGGAACAGAGTAATCAGACAAAAGTCTACTTGCTTCAGGACTAAAGATACCTGGGACATGCCCCCAGGATGAAATGGTAAAGAAGTAAAGTTTTGTAAAAAACTTTAAAACCACAGAGCTGGGCTGCAAGAAAGAATGGAGCCAAGAATCCATCGTGCTTGCAACCGAAAGACGTGCT